AAAAATATCGATATTAGTATCAAATTAAATATTTAAAAGTTCTTGATTTGTTGTGTAATTTCTTTAATTCAATTTTTTCCTATTATAATTTAATTTAGGTTTAATAACGAAATAATTTATTTTTGATTTAGTAATAATTTTTTATAAATATGATAATTAAGTATTCTGTTAAAACCACAATGATTATCCTAATTATATTTTAGATTTTTAAAATTTAAAATGAAATTTTATCTTGTATTTGGTTATATTTATCTGCAGTTAGTTACAATAATTCAAGCATGGTGCTTTAATAAGTTGTACTTATGCATTATTTTCTTTTAATCTTGAATTTTAAATAATATGCATCACGTATAAAAAATAGTTTTTAAGTATTTTTGTCAAATACTCTTGTCCCCCTCATGCGTCTTGCTATCGAGCAAGTCTTAAATAGCCCATTTACATTCGATTCCTTGGAGGTTGTGTGTCGTGTAAGACTAGTTGGGATTGCTCGTGGTCAATCTTTTATTCAAAAATTAAGGGGGTTGTTTGAGATTGTTTACTTTAGGTGTTTTTTGACTTATTTCAGTCTGTCACCGATGATAAGCTAAATGCTAGCGTTTGGATGAGGAAAAATAAAACTGTTTATACCGGTGTCAAACCGGTAATAAGCAATTTTTGATAAGTTAATCATTCATGTTTTATGAAAAACTGCTTATTATCAGTTTACCATTTTAACATTGTTTTATTAATGTTTGTTAAAATTATTAATCTTATTGATATAAATTTTTGTCAAAAATGTTATTATAAATGATGAAAAATAAATTTTTACATGTTAAAAAATCAAATAAGTTAATAAGCATTCTCAAACACTCTCATAAGTCAATAATATAGAAGATTGTCTTTTTTGATCATTTTACATATATAAGCAAAATTTGTCAAACACTAAAAAACAACTTATCATATTATTGTTTTTGGGAATTTTTTCTTTATAAAATTTGTAAATATTCTGCACAAACGACACATTATAATACACGTACATGTTATGTCCATTTCTAAAATCAAGATCTTCCTACTTTTTAATAATCATTATTTTTTTTTAAATAGTATTTTATTTAGAAAAAAATTGCTTTATAGAAGGGTATTTTTGGAAGTGGAAATAATTAAGTAATTTTATAATTAATTATTTTTTCTATACAATGTAACATGAAAATACTTTTAAAACAATAAGTTTGGGAAAACAGTTGATTACTGAAAACTCCCGTTCGATCCAAATCATCCAATGCAAAACTTGTCTTAAGAACACTTAATGTTGACACGTGTATACTTGTATGTGTATACTTGTATGTGTATACTTGCATGTGTTACCACTTAGTGTTGTAGAGATACAATATCTAGATCCCATCAATGATTAATAGTTGTAAAAATCAATTAAGTGAGGGGTATTTTGGGGATTCTTTCTTATTTTTATTTAAAAAATAATAATAATATAAAACACACATATTCATCCTAACCACCCTTACCCCCTACCCTCTCTCCTATCTTTTTCTTTACAAAACCCACCTCACCTGTACGTCGAGTGGCGGATCCAAAAATTTAGGTGACTGAGGGCACTTCTAAAGGTGTAAAAGTTTCTGAAGTCAAATAATCCATCCAAGCCAAAGGCTGCGTCGTGTGCCCAGGGCCCCTCCGGCTCGTATGTTTTGGTTTGACCTTCATTTCTCACACCAAAACTTCTCCTGCATCTCTCCCACTCTACCTTGGGATTTATTGGTGTGTTAGATCCGATTTCAGGGTTTTTAGAAGGCTTAGCTTGGTCATAAGTGTGTAAATATTCGGTAAACGCATTCTTTGGATTTATGGAGATTTTGAAAATACAAACCATACAGTTTTGGGCTTTTGGTTATTAAGCTTTAATGATGCGTTGATTTATGGACCCGTTCATGTTATAGGTGCGATGTACATGTAAATGTTGGCTTAGAATGTCTTTTTCGGCTCATGTGGCTTATCTTGGCTTTATTTAAACTAGTCAAGTCTTTCATGAGGGCTTTTTGGCTTGGTTTTGACTGAAATGAGTTTTGGGAACATTTATCTGGTTTTAATAGCTTATTTTTTAGTGTGTTTGTTATTCAATTGGAGTCGTGTGATTTTAGATTGTTATGCACTGGATTCATAGGCATAGGAGTATGTCGTGTTGTTAGGTGTATAGTTTTGATGTCAACGTTTAAGTCTAGTCAGTGGTCCCTAAGTCATTAGTAGTAAGCTTGTGGTCGTATCCTTTGGGTCGAATACATAGTTATTAGCTTGCGGTGGTACTCGGTTGAGTCGCATATGGGGCTGGACTTACGGTGGTGCTCATTGGAGTCGAATACAAAGACCGGTCACTTTTGAGGTAGACTCATCTAGATGTCGAGTAGACACTAGGGTCGTTGGGAATCTCGCGGGGGTACTCATTTGGAGTTGTATACGGCCATACGGGGATCCATGGCCCCGAGGTGAAACTCGAGAACGTTGATAAGTGGCTTACTTTTGTGTTCCCGCCACATTCAATGGAATCGGGTATCCCCCGTTGCCGAAATATGTTGTTTTCGGGTACTTTATTACCCATGACTTGTGTGTTTCAGATATAGTTTTTTACTTATATAATTGGTGTTTTGGAGGTTGCGCCTTGTGCACGTTTCAAGTGAGTTTGGTTATTGGTTATTTGTCTAAAACGGGTATTCGAAATAGAAATGATGAGTTTTGTAAAGAATGAGTCATTATTTAAAGGAAAATGTTCAGTTTAACCGTTTTTATGTTTTATATGATAAACCTGCTCAGAGTTAAAGTCTTAACACTTTTTCTTATTGACATGTAGGTTTAGAGTTGGTATCTGAGCAGCATTTGAAGCCTGTAGAGTTTCCGGTAGGATGACTTTACAGGCATCATCCGGATTTTGAAGATAACAGACTTAATGGTTATAGGAACCCCAGAACTTTTCTAATTATGTTAAGGATTGGATTGTCCTCTTAGAACTCTGATACATTCTGGTTCTCCTTCTTATATAAACTTTTAGCATTTTGCCATTAATGTTGTTTTAATTTGAAGGAAATTTTTAGTTTTAAATTATCTGCTATTTTATTATTTTAGGGATGTTACAGTTTACCCCCCTCTTCAAACCAAAATCTGATTTTGAGTTCATCTGGTCAAATATCCCCCTTTATTAGGTATACTCGAAATGACAAAATTGTATACCACTAATTTTTACATTTGTTAGGTTTGTGCCAAACGCGTCGGCTTTCGATTACTCTATATATATATAGTATATAGGTGGAGGTTCAAACGAGAACACCTCCATTTTATGAGAACGCGAGAACACTCTTATCACATGTGATAATACGCGTGAGGGGACCATGTGATGTGCGGACGACGTGTTCTACGACTTAGCCCGCGATAAAGGTTGTATGCGTCTATGATTTAGCATCACATGTGATAGTCTTGATGAATTATAGTATCATATCAACAACACCCTTATCACAAATGATAATACATGTGATGGGGCTTAGTGGTGTAAGGGCGACTTGGCCCGCAACCAAGATCGCATCAAAAATCGTCTGCGTCTGTGATTTAGTATCACATGTGTATCATATGTGATGGAATAATAGTATTACATGTGATTGTCTATAGTAAAAAGATGTTCTCGCATTCTCATAAAATAAAGGTGTTCTCGTTTCAACTTTTCCCATATAATATATATGTATATATAGTATATATAACAATGGTAAGTTTTTTAAACGAAAAATTGTATTCAGGTTAATTATTGTATACTTAATCAAATAAATAGTATACAAGTTTTGTTGTATAAAGAGTGTGAATGAAGCAAAGAATCATGTAATTTACACATATTCAATATAACATTAAATATTTATGTTAGCTTTATGTTCTGTTTTTTATATATCTATATTATATTACGAAATGTTTGACAAAGAACCCTTAAAAACTATTTTTTATATATAAAGTATTGTTTATTGATGTATATTACTTAAAATTCAAAATTACAAGTAATTATGCGTAAATACAACTTACTAAAACTTTATTTTCAATTTGTGTAACTAATTGGAGAGAAACATAATCAAATACATAATAAACATCTCACTTTAAATATAAAAAAATATCTAAAATATAATTAGTATAATTATTAATTTTTAACAAAATACTTAATTATTATCTTTATAAAAAAATATATTATTAAACCGGAAATAAATTACTTCGTTATTAAATTAATAAAAATCGAATTAAGGAAATTACACAAAAAATCGAGAACTTCTAAATACTTAATTTGATTCTAATATCGAATTCTTTTTCCAAGTTTTTATGAGATCTTCAAAGTTATATTTTATTCAAACATAAAAATATTATCGTTTTCTCAAAATCATATAAAATATAACATTAACAGAGATAAAGAATTAAAAAAAACCATTAAAACTAAAATATATTTCGTTACATTGTACCAATATCGTCCTAGTTCAAATAAAACATTTGGTTGTTATGAGATCTTTTACTTAAATATCATTATATACAAGGGTGATGCCTGATTGGTTTGAGCTTGACTCCAAATATCAAAAATATTAAAAGGTCTCAGGTTCAAATCCAATAAGAAAAAAAAATCTCCTTGTGGTCACGGAGGTTCAAATATGATGATTCCGGGTTATCTGCAAAACAGATGATCATTTGGGATTAATCGACTTACGTAGTATGTTGGATATCCAGGTTAATAAAAAAAAACTTTACCAATTCAAGTCAAGGATTAGGTTCCAATAATAAAATATCATAAATATTTATAAGTTGAAAAAGACATAATAATTACAATAATTATAATATTATCATTTCATCAAAGAAGAAAGAGCCATTACAATCATCCCATAATCTTCCTCTACCTTGTACACAGAATCTTTATTCCTTACCCCGCCCCCACCACCCCGCCCCCTACCAGCAAATCTGAAGTTTTTTTTTCAAGACTTTGATGAGATTCACATCTGATTCATTCAGTACTGAATCATGTCTGCAGAGGCCAGAATGGGTTGGTTAGCATAAACGTAGCTCATGAACTCGTCAACGAACTCAGTGCCGCCACCACCGCCGCCGTATAGCTCCTCCGCAAACCCACAACCAAAATCCACCGGTTGGTTCCTGAAAGCGATGATCTCGTTGAGAGACTGCAACCGGTAGCTGAGCTCAGCCACCTGAGCTCTCAAAACAGAGTTCTCTTCCTCCACACCCATGTAATGCTGTGTGGTGATGCTGACACTTGATATTATCTGGTTGTTCTCCTTCCTGAGTTGACTCAGCAGAGTCGCGAGTTCATCCAGATGCTGTTGCTTCCTCAACCTAGATCTCCTTGCCGATTCACGATTCGAAATCATTCTCTTCCTCTTCCTCTGATCCATCAACTGTTGAAGATCTTCTTCAGATCCCGAGTTCTGAATCGGATACGAACCACCTGATGACGTCGTCGTCGTACCACTAGAAGACGCCATTAAAATTACCTTGATACAATAAACAAAAACCAAACCAAACCCAGATCGTAATAGAACTTCAGTTTTCACTACTATTTCGATATATAGATATAGATTTCTATATATAAAGCTAGTTTACAGTAATCTATTGCAAAACAGAGCAATAATCATGAAATGTAATAAAACCAGTAAAGGAAAACAACAGAGAAGGATTGAACTAAATGGGTCCTGCGTCTATATGTGGAATTGATCATAAACCCAGAAAGAAATAATTCACTGAGAATTTGAGACATGTATTTCAAACATCAAGAACAATAGATTGCACATTAATGTCGATTTTCTTATTACAACAATCACGAACAGAAGAAAATTGGAAAAAAAAAACGAAGAACAGAAACAGGGGTTATTGAAGAGGAAACAGAAAGAGAGAGAGAAATCAGTTGGGGGGAAAAGGCTCTGCAACTGATGAAGAAGAGAGTGATGGCGATCCTAAGGATCTGAGAAAGAGAAGAAGGAGAGGGGGAAGAGAATTGGGAAGGATTGTGAGGTAGATTTATAGGAAAATTCTGCAGACCAAACACCAAAAAGGGTATTGTTTATGGAGATCTTTCCGAGAAAAATTAAATCAAAATTATGTAATTTCAGCTTTCATCAATTTTTCACTTTTTTTCATGAAACAAGAAGTTTTCGTTTAATGATTGGTTATGGTTTGATGTATAACGATTAAATGATTAAGAGACTTTCATGATATAGTGTAAAATGAGATATATATAGTTGTTTGGTAATTGTTTACAATGAAATTATAGTGCTTAATGGTTAAGGGAGACCCACAATACAAAATCATTCAGAGGGTTTTGAAACCATTAAGAGGCAGTCTTTTTTTTACCAAACAATATGGTTGTAAATAGAGATGGCCAAATGGGCCCAGCCTGGCCCGTAACCGCCGGAGGACCGGAACCGGGACCGGAGAGGGACCGGTATGGACCGGTTATGGACCGCCGGTTATGAACCGGTTATGGATTTTAACGTTTTTTAGGACCGAGACCGGTTAAGACCGGAACCGGTTATGTAACCGGTTATAGGACCGGCCTGGCCCGGCCCGGTCAACAAAAGTCAACGTGTATATATATATATGTAACAAAACGTATTTATAAAATTAAACGTATATATATATATTCATATATATATAACAAAACATATTTTTAAACGTATTTATAAAATTAAACGTATACATATATAACAAAAACATATTTTTAAACGTATTTATAATAAAACGTATTTATATAAAACATATTAATAACATATTAAAAATAAATACGTTTAATTTTATAAATACRTTTACAAATATGTTTTGTTATATATATATATATATATATATATATATATATATAAATTTATTAATTACCAAAAATTAGAAAAAAAAATAATTTTTTTTGCAAAGGACCGGCCGTAACCGGTTATGGGACCGGAACCGGGACCGGACGGCTTAACCGGTTACCGGTAAGCTTGACCGGTTATGGAGAATTTCACCGGAACCGGGACCGGTTATGAAACGTTTTTGTCTTGATCGGGACCGGCCGTAACCGGTTATGGCCCGGCCCGGGACCGATTTTTGGCCACCTCTAGTTGTAAATGAACTGAATGTTCAGCAAACTGTTCGGCGAAAAGTTCGTTTATTTAATAAATGAACGAACGTGAACAAATTTTTTTTGTCCGTTTAGTTAAACGAACGAACATGAACAAGAGTCTCGTTCGTTCATTTATGTTCGTGAACGTTCGTGAACGTTCGTTCATTTACCATTCGTTTATATTCATTCGTTTATGTTTGTTTATATATCAAATATAATATATAGTCTTTTATTTATTTAATTTGAATTCAAATCATATTTATTTATATTCGTTTGTTTATGTTCGTTTGTTTACGTTCGTTTAGCATGTTAACGAACGAACATAAACGAACACGAACACACCTGATTTCTAAACGAACGAACACGAACACAAAGATTTTCGTTCGCTCATCGTTCGTGTTCGTTCGTTTGTTCGGTTAAGTTAAACGAACGAACATGAACAACAAGCCTCCGTTCATGTTCATTAGGTTCGTTTACAGCCCTACCAAATAAGATTCATCTCTTAACGATTCAGAGTGTATCTCTTAATAGAACTATTAAGAGGTAAATAAACAATTCTTTAATCTAAAAACTTAAATCTATACATTCTAATTTAAGAAAATTAATGTTAATAATAAATATCTAAAATACATATTAATATTATATCGGTTGGGTTTCGGTAAAAATAAGAGTATTGGTAAGAAAGTGAGAATAAAATATTTATATACATTAAGTTACATTTATTTACTTATTTTTATCATCATGACTGAAAATTTAACAAATTTATGTATTTGAGACTGAGAGTGATTAAATGTATGTAGAAGTTCGTGAAAATGGCGTAAAAGTGAAGATAGAGTTGAAGAAAAAAGTAGATGAATGTAATTTTGAAGTTAGATTAAAAAATCAACTCATATAAAAACTCATAAGTGTTCTTACATTCTTACCATAACTGTTATTCTCACATGATCATTCGTCTTATTATTATAGCATAAAAATATTAAAATCAATGTCGTCAAACTTTGTGACGGTCTATGACTAGACTGGTAAATTATGTGGTTGCATTTTTTTTATTAAGTTTTGTATGAATAAATTTGTTTATATAAATAAGGAAAGTTTTGTACGGGAGAGTTTTTCATAAATGGAAAGATTATGTTTTTCAATTGGGAGAGACACGTTTGAAAAAAAATGGCTTTTTGTATAAAGCTTACTGAATAAGTTATTTTATACATTATTAAACCATTACCAAACAGTTATATATTGCTAATTAAATAAGTTATGAATCCTATTAAATTTATTAAATTACTAATAAACATGCCCTTACATAGGGTAGCTCGTGGGTTGGGTTGATCGGGTTGAAGACATTTAAACAACCCAATCTAATGCTTGCGGTTTAAAAAATCTTAACTTAACCCAACCCAAACGAAAGTGCAACCCGACCCAACCCAAACCATACAGGTTGGTCGGGTTGATACTTTGGTACATTAAAATATTTTTCTAAACTTAAATATGTTATTTTTCTACTCATAATTTCTTTTTCATGATCAACCATTTGATACAACTTATCCATACTTATTACGTATATCACATTCAGTTAATTTTTTCAATTTACGTATATATGTTTACAATTACTGAACATATATACGAATGAATTATATAGAGATGTGAATAGATTAAAAAGATGTGTATATGAATAGCGTACGTAATAGTGTAATTGTCTAGTGTATATATTAATAAAAATTCAACAATCTTATTAAATCCAAAAAATAAATGGATATCGGGTTCATTGGGTTGGATTGGGTTGAGTTCAAATAATAGTAATCCAATATCAACCAAATACCTACGGTGTGAAAATTTTACAACTCAATTAGACATCGGATTGCTTCAGATTAAGTTATTTCGCATCGGATTGGGTCAAGTTGGTCGGGTTTTTAAACACCCTTACCTTACTTATGTATTAATTATTAAAACAAAATATTATAGTTTTTTAAACTAATAAATATATTGAATATATTTACGGAGGCAAGGGAATAAAATACTTGGAAAAGGAAAAAGAGATGCCGATGGGACACGTGGGGCTCCACATCCTCCATGTGCATTACTAGTGGTGCTTTATGCATAATTAATTGTACATTTGCTTCTACTTCACTGTATTTACAGAAAGCAAAATTTGTTTTTGCTATGTTGGTTTATATTCTACCGTCTCAATCAGGGATGCTTAAAAACCAGACCAATTTAATCAATTCAATTTGAAATAATTTAATCTGAAGCAACCTGAAATCTGATCATATTGTAAAATCTTCAAACCTACCGGGATTTCAATTCACTTATTGGACCCGGTCTGCCAAATTATAACTGAAAACACTTGAGAAAAAGTCGTTACTAAAGGTTTCGAACGCACCACCTCGACAATAGCATCGATGGACGCTACCATTCCGTTTGTGCTATTTTTGTTTATCATTTGCCCCCGTTTTTAATTTCCACCTTAAATTTGTTTTTTTTCTCTCGTTTTAATGTCAACTTATGTTTATTCGAAATAAAACTAATTAACCTTTAACAATTAATTATTTTGGAAAACGATTGATTATATTTGAAATCTTGTTATTCTTTTTCTATGTTTGTTTTGTGAGGGGATGTTTGGTAGTTGTTGAATGGTTTAATGCAGAACGATTAAGAGACTCTCATGATATAATACAAAATGAAATATAATTGTTTGGTAATTGTTTACGATGAAATTAGGGCGTTGAATGGTTAAGGGGGTCCCATGATGCAAAATCATTGAAAGAATTTTAGAACCATTAAAAAACAGACTTTTCTTTTGCCAAACAAGATTCATCTCTTAACGATTTAGAGTCTGCCTCATAATGGAGCTATTAAGAGGTAAACAGACAACCCCTGAGACACGTTTGTAGATAATATAGAGCGTTATCTTTTGTTGTTGCATTTGTTGGAAAATTTACGTAAATAGCCATTTTTATAAAATGACTTTCACTTTTTAGCCACTTTACAAACCCCCCTTCCTGAAGTAGTCAAAGTTTACAAAAAAACTTTATGAAGAAAAAAAAAATTACGTAGAGTTTAATTTCAGGGGGAAAATAGTTTAAATATGGTACTTTACGTAAAAATGGGGGAGTTTACGTAAAAAATGAGACTTTATGCAGAAAATCCATCTTTATGCATGAAGTTTTCTGCGTAAAGTCACTTTTTTGTGTAAACTCTTTTTTCTTTTTCTTTTTTTGTCCAGAAAATAAACTTTACGTAAAAAATCATTTTCTTTATAGTTTTTTGGGGGAGGCTAATGGCACCCCTATCAATTGCCATTAGCACCCCTAAGACTAGTTGTCATTATTGTTTTTATTGTTTTTAGTGTTTTTTTTTTTATTTTATGTTTTGTTTTATTGTTATTTTAATTTATTT